TTGCTCCTGCTGACTTGAGCAAGACATTCTTTCCTCCTCTGTGTCAGTGGGGAAGCTTTACATGTGTACTCCTTTCTCTGAGCGCTTGGAGCATCCCCCGGCAGCACAGCAAACCATGGGGGAGACTATATGCCGGACAACACGGAGGAAAGGGCACAGACAAACTGCATGCATGCTATTCAATGTTTATTGAATTTCATTTATTTACTGTCAGTTGACAATCATTGATGGCACCTGTGGGTCTCCTGTCCTTTCTGAAAGTCATAAAGAAGACATTACTCATTTAGATTACTTGTGTCCTCAATTACCAGGGGATTACTGAAACCACCATGAATGAAAGAAATGGTAGAAATGTATCTAATCTGAATTTGTAAACCTTCCTCCCCTCCCTCTAAATATATCAAACATTAGGAAGTGATGCTCCTGACTACCATTCAGGTTTAAGAAGATAATATTTGTTTTAAACAATTCAAAGCAATAAACAACAGGCTCTTTAACCAAGGCAACGTTAGCCTAACATGTATGTTAACAGGTAAGATAGCTGTTTACACTATGTATATTTTCTACTTTTTTATTTCTATTTGAGATGTTTACATTTTCGATTGTTTAATTAGTCTTTTAACTGTCTTATGTGCAATGCCTTTTCTTTTGCTGCTGCAAAGTAAACATTTCCCAAATTGGTATCAATAAAGTAGCCTACTTCTTATTTTATCTTTCCTCAAATATTAGCAAAGTTAACTTTTTCAAATATTGATGTAACTACATACACATCGATATGTTGTATAAATATTTCAAATCAAAACCTTTATTCACTACTTATTACCAAAAATCGTAGTTCTATCTTCAGTAATCATGCATTCAAATGTCCCACCACGAACTTCCGGGGAACTATTGAGTCTCCCTGAACCACGTGACGATCAAGCATGTTGGTCCTCCGCTGTCGTAACTCTTCTCTCTATATGGCTTAGCCTTCCCGAGCCTACAGCACCCGCCGCCCCTGGCTGAAATTGATTGCACGTGGCACAGCCCGACCTAGAAAACAATCCACCAACCGCCTCTGTCAAAATATGAACAAACCATTTACAATAAATGAACTGAATTGACCTGATGTAGCCCAGCCTGAACTCAAGCCTTCCTCCTGGTCCGCATGGACATAAACTGTGTGCTCTCTCGATGCGTAATCAAACGCATCGATAGAGATCGTTGCAGAGGCGATAGACAGTTAAGTTTTGCGTCTTTGCCTCGGACGACTTCTCATGGCCGTTTTGACATTGTTCTGAAGGCTGAGCCCGCGCTGCGCAGCCAAAGTTTTGAAGTCGGGAGACATTTCTCTCAGGGAAGTGATCAGAAGTCGGCAAGACTCTCTGAACGTGGGATTTCCAGATCCTGCAAGCACTCGCTTGCAGAAGGAGCACGCTGTCATTACCAAACGCTGTACATTGAGAATATTAGAATAGAGCAACGTGACATATAATATATATTTTGTAAGGAGCTCCGACGTATGGGATCAGGTCGTGCCGTTAAGATCAAGCAAAACTAAGAGTTTAAGAGAAAAGAAAACTCAGTCAAGCTACAGAAACCTCATCTCAAACGTAAAGCTATAACTTGCAAACAAATAATTTGTGTAATCATGTAAACTATTCGTCTTTTATAACATATCTTTTTGTTTGCAGTTCTCTTTGCTTCTTTCCCAATGATCAGACTTTTGCCCTCGCTGCGGGCTATAGTAACCCTTAAAGTAACCCTTAAAGTAAGCCTTAAGTAACCCTTAAAGTAAACCTTAAGTAAATGTAGAATGACATGTATCTCACAGATAGATTTTCTGAACAAGCTGAGTGTAAACTTACTGCGTCTCTTCCTTGAACCTCAGCCCGGGTTTTCACACTTATGGCGAGTTTCCACTGCAGCGGGTAGCTCGCTTTAAGCGTGCCGAGCCGTGCGGGGCCCGTTTTTGGTTGCGTTTCCACTTGGCCTAGTTTTGGCCCGGGGCTACTTTTTCACCTTTTTTCTGGCCCGACTAAATGGTGGTTCTAGGGCCAGGAACAACCAGGCTGAGTCGGGCTGAGTATGCTAAACTAGAGAGAGAATCGCTGGCAAGGGGGCTACAACTACAACAAGATGAACATATTTGACCGTGATTTAATTGTAATACACGTTTCAAAATGATGCCGAAGTAACAACATACTGATACCGGTTAGTAAAAACCATGAATTAATGCTTTGACGAGTCTGCAGACAGACGGCAGAGAAACACCTTTTAAAATGTGTGTTTTCTAAATGGAGCTTGGCTAAGCTAACGTTATATATGCTCCGACCGTCCACACTCACAACAACGGCCTACAGACATAAATAAACCAGCGACTGTATTCGCCATGACACAGGCAGTCTGTGGTTTGTACTTGTTTAACTTCTGGCTAGTTTCTGAACAGATATGAAGAGCTGTGAGCTCTGAGTGCTAAGAGCTAACGGCTGTGTTGTTTTTCTGGGGCTCTCATTGAAGATGACGTCACAGCTCCGCCTACACTGCGTTACTATAGTAACTGCCCCAGTTCCTAAACTGTAATGGAAGCGCAGCATTAAAGTGAGCCGGGCCTAATAAGGCCTAACCAAACCGAGCGAGGCCGAGCGAGGCCTGCAATGGAAACGCCATTAGATAGATTTTTTTTCAGATTTCTAAACAGGAAGTCAGAGGAGCGGGAAGTCTGAAGTTGTTTGGACTTCACCCTCCAGTGAAGAATGGTTTGGCCCAAAATAAACCTTCCTTAAGTTTCATTTATTGAGAACAGGATCTCATTAACATATTACAAAAGTGTGTCTTATATAAAAATAAATACATGTTAAATAAGAGTTAAATAAAGGGAAATGATTAAAGATTATGATGGAATATTTATTTTCTTATGATTTTTGTTAAATTGAATGGCATTTTATTTTGTATTATCAGCTTCAGGCTTGGTGTTTTTGTTTATGAATAATAAATCAACCATAAATACTAAAGTAAAAAAAATGAATGACTGGGGGAACATTGAATAGGGGAACGTTTTAATTAGTTATTACGTTATAATTAGGGCCGGGACTTTAACGCGTTAATTAAGATTAATTAATCACACAAAAATTAACGCGTTAAAAAAATTAACGCATTTTAATCGCACTTATTTTTGCACCGCGGAACGTTTCTCACTGGATGAGTTTCAGGCGTACCGATTATACTGGAGCACCAACTAACGTTCATGACTTCAGACAACAACAAACCACAGTGAACAACAGTGGGAAATGTTGTTTTAAAAAACGGACGGATGGAAGCGTCGATAAGAGCACGGTTGTGTGCAAATTATGCAAAAAGGAATTCACATATCACCGCAGCACATCAAGCCTCAAGTATCACCTCAATGCAAAACATATAGCAGCTAGCGTGGAAGCTAGCGTGGACGTTAGCCTCTTTTATCGCGTTCACACCAAAAAGAGCCGGTACTAAAATTAGTTCATGAGAACCTTTTTACCCCCACGAAAGTCCCTGCTAGAGAGCAGAGAGCTGCTAGAGAGCAGGGACTTTCGTACGGCTCTCTTGTGAGAAAAGAGCTATATTTCTGATTGGCTGGGCGGATTGCAAACCACGCCCCGTAAAACTCCCAAAAAGTTTTGTGAAGCCGCCATTTTATTATCCTCGCATTAGCATTATTAGCATTAGCCCAGCGCAGAAACACAGAGAGACTAACTTATGGCAACACAAAATAAAACATGGGAGCGGTGGAGATGAGAAGGTGTCGGCGTTCTGGCGATTTACTCGGAAGGCTGCTGGGACTCCCAGCAGCTTCTACTGAAGCCAGTCCCCAACTCAGGGGACTTTGGGCGGCAGTATACGCCGTGAAGTGGTTTGCGGCCTGCCAGTAAACCCAAAGCAGAAGAAGAAGAAGTGACGTCAGCGGCTTCATTTGCCTAATCCACCCCCAGGTTCAAAGAGTTCTCATGAACTAAATTCTCATGAACCTTTGTGGGAAAAGTACTGCGGTGTGAATGCGCCTAATGGTATACTAAAATCCATGTGAAAAAAATTGCTTCTCACTGTTCTCAGGTCAAATATTTATATGTGATTAAAAATGCGATTAATTTCGATTAATTAATTACAAAGCCTCTAATTAATTAGATTAATTTTTTTAATCGAGTCCCGGCCCTAGTTATAATACATTTGAAAAAATAGTTAAATGAAAAATACATGTAAAAATACATTTCAAATACATGATAATTATTGTTAGTTTACGTTGTTTTTCTGATTCTGGATCGCTGAACGTTGACCGATTCATAAACACAACAATAACACCAGGTTCTTTATTAATGTGAAGTTTATTAAACTAATAACTTCAAACACAAGCTATAAAAAACAGGGAGATCAATTATTAAATTAAGATTGAGTTTTTTTAAAAGTCAGAATTTTGAGATTTTGAGAAAAAAGTCAGAATTTTTTGAAAAAGTTCAACATTTCGAGCTTTTCATTAATTTGCAGAACTCCCCTTCAGATGTTCTCAGGGTCTGCCATGTTGATGATTCTGTTTCCTTGTATTTCAGCCTCCACTGAGAGCGGTATTCTTTCAAGGAGATCATCACCAAAGCCTGTCTTCAGCTGGAAGTCGAGCGTTTTCGCCAGAAGTCGAGACGCCACGATGAGCGTGAGCAGCTTTGCGTCTAATTCCACCTCCAGGTGAGTCTCCTTCAGCGTGGCTTCCTTGATCCCTCTAATCTCGAGTCACTTTCCGGATGCCGACACTTTGAACCTGCATGAAGACACGTTAACGGTCAATGTTCAGGACGTGAGAAAACATCAGATAAAGTCTTCAGATTAAGGTGAGGAGCATTTTGCTTTGGGGGCTATTTAGCTTCCATATGATGTCTTCTGTGGAACAAGCCGCCAGGAAACATCAGTTTAAACTACTTTTCAGGTTGGCCTTGTTTCAGCAACATCACCTTTTAGTTTGAGTTTGAATCATTATTAGTCTGAAAAAATCAGAATTTTGAGGAAAAAGTCAGAATTAGAAATGTTGAGGAAAGCTGTCATCACAGAGACAACATGTCCGACTGGAGGCTGCAGGTACCTTGGTGATTTTGGTGAACTTAGATGAGTTGAGAGACACTTTCTCACGGTACTCATTGGGCTTCATGTATTCAAGAAGAAAGACGTGTCCGACTGAAAGGTATTTAATCAGCTTGGTGGCCTCGTCCCACATGGTGACGCTGATTTCCTCATCTTCCTGACTCAGTTTGAAGCTTCGCTGATTCGTCTTCTTCTCCTTGTGTTTCACCTTCACTTTGTTGACGGGATAGATCTGGAAAAAGCAGCAGAGAAACAACAATGATTTCTATTTCACAACATTTCAAAACAAACTGCCTTATAAATATATATAAATATTTATATATATATATATAAAATCAGACAATGTGATTTCCTGGATTCTTCCCCCCATCCTGTCTCTCATAGTTGAGGTGTAGCTAGGATGAACATTACAGGCCTCTCATCTTTTTAAGTGGGAGAACTTGCACAATTAGTGGCTGACTAAATACTTTTTTGCCCCACTGTATATATATATTTAAGCAATAGCTCACGACAGGCCGTGGTATATGCTCATTATATCACAGCTAAGGGGCGTGGTTCGGCCCGAGGCGAAGCGGATCATTTTGAAGCATTATCATCGTAACCAGGCTCTTTGAGAGTAAAGTAGGTCTGCAGTTTGAACTCACCTCGGTGACGGTTCCTTTGACGCTCACGTGTGTCTGGGGACGAGATGATTTGATGTCTTTAATGGAGGTAAGCGGACTCTCAGGATAAACCAGTCTCTCAGCTTCTCTCTCGAACTCCTCCGGGACGATGACAGGTTTTGTTTCTGACACTTTGCTCGATGCGTTGACCTTCACATATATTCCATCTTGTGTTAGATTCCTGAAGATGTAGGAGCTCCCCTCTTTGATTTGTCGATGGTGATCTTTTCCGCACACCATCAGTTTGACGCTGGCCGTCTCGTCGGCGACGCCCAGAAAAAAATAAAAGGTCTTTATCGTGGATGTGAGCAGCTCGGATTTTTTAACAACTTTCCCAACAATCTCTTCCGTCTCAAGAATCCCACTGGATTTTAGATCAAAGATGGATTTCCTCTGCACACAAAGAAAAGCCTCTCCATGAACTCAGCTTGGAGAAAGTAAATGTCTCAAAGCTGCAAGTGATAAATAAGAAATAAGATTTACCCATGGAGCTTTTCCATCCTGGGAGTCACGAGTCTTCGGTTTCTAACAGGGCAGGAAGAAATATGTTTACTTTATATCACACAAAGGTTTACGGCCGTGACTCTTTAATGATGAATGTTGTGAGTTGGGTAACTGCGGTGGCCGACAGGTGCCACAACGTCTCAAGCCTCTTCCTCTCCAACTCTTACCTTGACAGGTTGGCTTCCCTCCAGCTGATCTTTAACAGGAGAAACAAACATCACTCAGGGTCTCGTGATCAATCAGACTTTCAGCTTAAAATACGTCTCGTTAAGACAACCAGCCCACCTAACAGAACTGAACCTAATGTTTTAAACAACGGACGATGCACTTGATGTGATTGGCCCCAATCTACCAACACTTCACCTACCTGCTGCAGGACTGGTTCCTTCCTCCGGCTCCTCCTCACGTCTCCTCTTCTTCTCTGGAACATTTAAAACATGATTTACTCAGCAGAACATGATTGTTCTACACCTATGTTTATTATGCAGCAGCTCATAGAGTCCTGTTGTGAACCCGGACATGTTGAGACCCCAAAGTCTTATGTTAGAAATGTAGAGTAGGGTCCACATACAAACTGCCGGATGCTAACCTGCAGAAGTTACACAATTAGCACAAGTTGCATTTACTAGCATATGCAGACAATATCTAAAAAATGGCAGATTACAAATACGTCAGATTGTAGAAAGCGGCCATATCTCTGGACTGATTCTGATACAGGTTTGCTCCATTTGGAAGATGTGTTGGACTCTGGATCATTTGGATTGGTTGACAGTAGAGTTAATCATGTTCATCTTGTGCTCTCTATATCCAATCCAAAGTCACAACATCATGGTAGTAGCTTTTTTAAGAACTTGGCTTTGAAACACATCTTTGAAGTATAATCCCACACTTGAGTAAAGTGTTATTGAGCATGCTTAACTGAACATAGGCGTGGGATGAATTCTGTTAGTGGATTTCCTCACCATGCTGCTGTTTCTCCGGTTTGCTCCTCACTTTCTGAACGTAGGGTTTCAGCAGATTCTGAACCAAATCATTTCTCTTCGGTATCTCTTCCATCACTCTCTCCATCTCGAGGATCGACTTTTCTTTCCCGTAGAACTCAATGATCTTCCCAGGCATCTCTTCTCTGGACCGGCTGTCCTTCAGAACCTGAGGGAAACCCCTCAAACATTCCTTCATTTTTATGAACTGTGCTGAAGACAGATCCTCCAGGATGATGGTCAGATCTCTCTTCCAATCTTCCTCTGAGATTTTCGACATCTGAAACACCAGAGAAAGGAAACGGTTTGTGCTGGTTTTCTGCAGCTCCACTCCGAGATGTTAACGGATATTCTGCCTTCAACAAATGTCCTGCGATTTGGATATTGTTGTGTATATGTTAAGTCAAAGGTAAAGTAAGTCCCAACACATTGAACCACTTTCAATGCAAAGATAAGAAGATAACCACACAACCAATATCTGTATAAAAGAAAATCAAAAAGGTAAATTTTGGAATCTCCCTCAAAATCCATCTCAAAGACCGCTTCGGCTTTCTTTCAGAATATTGAATTAACAAACAGTCCAAAAAAAAGAGGTGTAAAGTAACTAAGTACATTTACTCAAGTACTGTGTACTGTGTAAGGATGCACCTGGTAAGGATGCCACCTAGTAAGGATGCCACCTGGTAAGGATGCCACCTGGTAAGGATGCCACCTGGTAAGGATGCCACCTGGTAAGGATGCCACCTGGTAAGGATGCCACCTGGTAAGGATGCCACCTGGTAAGGATGCCACCTGGTAAGGATGCCACCTGGTAAGGATGCATCTGGTAAGGATGCCACCTGGTAAGGATGCATCTGGTAAGGATGCCATCTGGTAAGGATGGTAAGGATGCCACCTGGTAAGGATGCCACCTGGTAAGGATGCATCTGGTAAGGATGCCATCTGGTAAGGATGGTAAGGATGCCACCTGGTAAGGATGGTAAGGATAGTCCGGATGGTAAGGATGGTAAGGAAGGTAAGGATGGTAAGGATGCCACCTGGTAAGGATAAAGCCGGTAAGGATGCCACCTGGTGAGGATGCCACCTGGTGAGGATGCCACCTGGTAAGGATGCCACCTGGTAAGAATGGTAAGGATGCCACCTGGTAAGGATGCACCTGGTAAGGATGCCAACTGGTAAGGATGGTAAGGATAGTGAGGATGGTAAGGAAGGTAAGGATGCCACCTGGTAAGGATGCCACCTGGTAAGGATGGTAAGGATAGTGAGGATGGTAAGGATGGTAAGGAAGGTAAGGATGGTAAGGATGCCACCTGGTAAGGATGCCACTTAGTAAGGATGCCACTTAGTAAGGATGCAACTTAGTAAGGATGCCACCTAGTAAGGATGCACCTGGTAAGGATGCCACTTGGTAAGGATGGTAAGGATAGTAAGGATGCCACCTGGTAAGGATGCCACCTGGTAAGGGTGGTAAGGATAGTGAGGATGGTAAGGAAGGTAAGGATGGTAAGGATAGTAAAGCCGGTAAGGATGCCACCTGGTAATGCACTGATTCTGAATCTTAAATTGTATTTTATTTACCTATAATTCATGTAGAAATGTCTTATCTATGCCGCTGAGACGATAACATGTCCAAAATAGGGATCAATAAAGTTTATCTTTATCTAATCTATCCTCTTACTCACGGTAGTCAGTCCTTCCAGTCCGGGTTTTCTGTTGATCCAGTCCGGGTTTTCTGGGTGATTGTGGAGCTGTTACTTTCTGTTTGTGCAGCAAGAAAAAGAAAAATAACTGGAAAGATAGTCCGAGGCGGTGCATGTGTGTATTATGAGACTGTTCTGAGCCCATATGGGAGCGCCTTGAATCCCCAAATCAGAGCTGGTTGAAAGCTAGAGTGATTTTTTCATTTGGAAGTTAAATGCATTAATCTGGTGCACTTTGAGGGCAAAATTAAGGACTATGGATACAGATCTATGGATACATCTCTCAACAACACCCATGTGAGACAGAAATGTCAACAGATATCATTTTTTCTTTATGCATATTTTACTAATCACTCCCCCATTAAATGGTATTCTTGTTTTACTGTCCTATAGTATGAATTGGAATCCCCCCCTGTCGACGCTCATCACATAACTTTGCGTGGGGCCATATATTGATATCTTCAATCTTAAATTGTATTTTATTTACCTATAATTCATGTGTAATGTCTTATCTATGCTGCTGAGACGATAACATGTCCCAAATAGGGATCAATAAAGTTTATCTTTATCTAATCTATCCTCTTACTCACGGTAGTCAGTCCTTCCCGTCCGGGTTTTCTGGGTGATTGTGGAGCTGTTATTTTCGGTTTGTGCAGCAAGAAAAATAAAAATAACTGGAGAAATAATCCGAGGCGGAGGGAGAACACGTTTTTTAAAGATTCAACGACTACACTTTTGAGTTTTTACGAATACAACCATAGTTTTAACCGACCAATAAGAGTGTGTTGCTCCGAGATCTTCCTGCGGTTGTTCTGCTGCAATGGTGGCAGAATGTTGCCGCCAAACCTGCAACCAATCACAGTCTAGATGGGCGGGTCTGTGTGTGTTTAGCTGAGAGGAAACCGGTGTCACATTACTTCTAACTTTAAAGAGTCCTCTCCTGCTGATGTTCAGGTGTATATCAGTATGTAGAGTCTCTACTTTAAAGAGTCATCTCCTGCTGATGTTCAGGTGTATATCAGTATGTAGTGTCTCTACTTTAAAGAGTCCTCTCCTGCTGATGTTCAGGTGTATATCAGTATGTAGTGTCTCTACTTTAAAGAGTCCTCTCCTGCTGATGTTCAGGTGTATATCAGTATGTAGTGTCTCTACTTTAAAGAGTGTTCTCCTGCTGATGTTCAGGTGTATATCAGTATGTAGTGTCTCTACTTTAAAGAGTCCTCTCCTGCTGATGTTCAGGTGTATATCAGTATGTAGTGTCTCTACTTTAAAGAGTGCTCTCCTGCTGATGTTCAGGTGTATATCAGTATGTAGTGTCTCTACTTTAAAGAGTCCTCTCCTGCTGATGTTCAGTTCAGGTGTATATCAGTATGTAGAGTCTCTACTTTAAAGAGTCCTCTCCTGCTGATGTTCAGGTGTATATCAGTATGTAGTGTCTCTACTTTAAAGAGTCCTCTCCTGCTGATGTTCAGGTGTATATCAGTATGTAGTGTCTCTACTTTAAAGAGTCCTCTCCTGCTGATGTTCAGGTGTATATCAGTATGTAGTGTCTCTACTTTAAAGAGTTCTCTCCTGCTGATGTTCAGGTGTATATCAGTATGTAGTGTCTCTACTTTAAAGAGTCCTCTCCTGCTGATGTTCATGTGTATATCAGTATGTAGTGTCTCTACTTTAAAGAGTCCTCTCCTGCTGATGTTCAGGTGTATATCAGTATGTAGTGTCTCTACTTTAAAGAGTCCTCTCCTGCTGATGTTCGAGTGTATATCAGTATAGTGTCTCTACTTTAAAGAGTCCTCTCCTGCTGATGTTCAGGTGTATATCAGTATGTAGTGTCTCTACTTTAAAGAGTCCTCTCCTGCTGATGTTCAGGTGTATATCAGTATATAGTGTCTCTACTTTAAAGAGTCCTCTCCTGCTGATGTTCAGGTGTATATCCAACCCAGTCTCATGGCATTTCGTGTTCACCAACACGATTTTAAAAGCAATGTATTTCTACTGGTAATGTGTTTCGTGCCTGCAGCACGTCTTTTTCTGGGTCGAGGAAGACCTGAAGCTGTGGGGTTCATAAAAACATGTTCTTACTCAATATCAAGCCACAATTATTGCTTATATTTTAAATCGTATAATGTCGGACTTTTGTTGCCGTCTGTGAGGAAAATAAACGGCTCAGAGCCTCAGAATACTGAAATCTGTATTTTTAAAATCTTTTTTTCCTTCTAATTTGTTATTCTTTTCAAAATAACACACTGTTATTTACTCACCAATAACACACAATTATCCTTGCTTTTATTTATTGGTTTAATTCCATAATCTCTGGCTTTTTTGGCGTCCGTCAGGAACTGAATTTCAAAATAAAAATAACCGGAAACAGACGTAGGCCTCTAGGAGTTTAGGATGGCCGAAGACACTACACTACCCATAATCCCCAGCTATCGTTTAGGACTACAGTCCCCGTGATTAATCTTCAAGCTCTGGGATTGGATGTTGGAGTGGCAGTGCACCAAGGTTACGAGTGTCAAACAGCTGTTTGAAATGGAACGAAACCACGGCAGACTCCAAAACTGGAATCCAACGCCCCCCCCAGAACTACACATGCTGGCTATTGTGTTTCGCAAAATGTTCTATGGGACGTCTCTACTGAACGTTTTCGTTTTTCCCACAATTAGAAGTTGCCAGTATTAAATGCTATCAAATGTAAAACATATAATTAATAAATGGGTGAAAATCGCTTGTGTCCATAATGCGCAGCATTAATACCACATGACAGCTCATTGTTACTTTGTAATTCTACTCCACTACAATTCAGAGGTTAACCCGGTATTTTTACTCCACTACATTTATTTGAGTTACTTTGCAGATTCTGATTAATGATGTGAAATATAAACTACCCTTAAATCAGACTTTAGTTACACCTGAGTAAAATTCAGGGAAGGTGATTGTCAAGTGCCAACAATCAGAAGAGATATTTGATAGTTAGTGCTTGAGAAGACTAAACATGTATCTGCAATTGACATGAATGGAAACGAGTAATAAAGTATATTCATTACTCGAGTCGTTATTCTCTACTAATAGTTAATTAAAGACTGTATATACAGATGTAGCACCTAATTTCGGACAGTTTGAAACGCGAGGGCCGTGATTGGTACGTGATCTGCCCTCGCTCAAGGGAAAACCTCCAGTTTCACTTGAGTCCTCCCCCGTGATAAATAAATGTAATTATAATGAAGCCAGCTGCAATGGATCATTGATCCACCAGGGGGTGCAGTGGGGTTCCACACTGGAGCTCATGTGAAATAAAGTCAGATACAGTACGTTGAATGTACAGCGGAACTTTGTTCAGATCCATATGTCACGGATACCATACTCTGTGCTAAATAAGAGACATGTGTTACAGGCTTGGCCTGTCACTTTAAGAGTAGCAGCCGCAAGGGGTTGTGGGTTTTGGAGTCTGTGTGTGTGTGAAATGTGATGGCTAAGGCGAAGTGCGGAGTTATGGAGAGAGAGACAAAAGTATAGAGAAAGTGGTCAGAAAATGAATAGTATCTAGTCTGTATGGAATACAGTGTCAATATAGCTTGAAGAACGTGAATAAACGGAGGTTCTTCCCACGGCACCCGAACGCCCCGTTTCCATCCTTTTTCCCCTCGAAATGTCTGGGCAGCTGGTTACCGGCTGACAACGAGCCAAGTCAGAAACCACCGGTGTGTATTCGAAACTACGGTTTCGGTGCCGAGATACCGTTAATAGTAAAAAGGTAACATTGGGGGCACGTCCGAGATTTTTTTTTCTATGGGGGAGAAGAGTGGAATGGATTTAATGGCAGCGTTCGGAGCTAACGCTAATGCTAATCACAGACTGAGACAAGTTGATGGAGCTAACGGAAAAAGCCCACGGAAAAGCTCTAATCCATTCTTGGTGAATATTGATGAGGCTGGTCAAAGTAAGGTGGACATGTTTGACCAGACAATTATGGATTATACTGGATATGGGGACTGCACCAACCCCTTTCTGACTAGCATGGGGCTAACGCTAGCCGGAGCCGCAAGCTACGCCACGCCGCCGGAACCATCACTGGCGCCAACTAACCCTTACGAAAATGAACTATAGTATTACTATAGTTTACTATAAGAGTTGTATAGTATCCTATAGTAAGTTTGTAGAGTTCTATAGTATTTTTTACCAGCTATCGTATTACTATAGTCTTTTCTGTAGTGCCATTTTACTAGCTATAGTAGCCCTATAATATTTCAATAGTAATACTATGTATCTAGATCTTTGTAGTATTCCTATAGTATTTTAAATATTATAACTATAGTATAATATATAGTGTTTCTGTAGTTGTTTTTTTAACACACTATAGACCACTCCTATAGTAATATGATATTGTCATAATGAATGCATATTATTACCATAGTGTTTGTAAAAGTATTACACTCCTAGAATTAATGTCATTTTTTTTTAACACACTGCTGTGTCAAAGGCAATTCAACACATTCAGTGTCATTTCTGAACTATTTTACACACATGTGTGTACGTAGAAAAAATAAAAATGCACATAGTCAACACATTAGTTTTGACCATAGACTGTATATATGGTTTTGACTAACACTGGGCTAACATTGGGCACTGTCATTGGGCACTGTCCTGCCCAATCACGGTTGAGTTATTTCAAATGTCCCAACTGCCATTTCACCTCTGGCTGCTGTGGAGGATGGATGTCAGCGGAGGAGAGTCTAACTCTAGGTAAGTTACAGAAACAAAACGTTTTTAACAAAGTGAGCAGATATATTGTCATAATGTGAGCAAGCTAGGGGTCTAAATACATATTTTTAAACTTAAATAAATATGTTTTGCCAATGTTGAAGAGCTAACTATTGTTTGAGTTTAGCTGCCTGGATGACAATTATTTTCCTTTAAGCCGTTCTTCTTTTTTATTATATTTATTGTATCTTAACTTAATGTAGCTTACACTCTTTTCTGTGACCATCATTCTTCAATCGGCATTATATTGATAGCATTAGCAGCTATATGTTTAATGCTATCTAGCTACTTTGGCTAGGTTTCATTGTTCGGCCAGATGTGGCGAGAAAGTGCGAGTGAGAAGACCGACAGAGGCTGCGTTGATATACAGTCTCTTACAGTGCAAATACGTAACTTACTCGCACTAAAGTTATTAGTAGTACGTGTACACTACAGTTTACCTGTTTCTCACTAAAACATCAGCCACTACTCTATACTTGCAAATATTATATTGTGTAGAAGGGATATTTCATATCTGCCTCTTGTCGCTAAGGCAACTTGTGTATGTGAGATGCAGCGTCACGCACGGCACGTTAGGCCTTCCCTTCCGATTATTTGATTGGTCGGAAGGGAAGGGCCGGCGGGCTTTCCTTCCGACCAATCAAATCGTTGGGAGGGAAGGCCGGCGGGCTTTCCTTGACATGTCCCTGACACAGCGGACTGCGGGTGTAGTATAGAGTGAGTGTAGCGTGCAATAGCTTGGTTTCAGTCACGTGACTTCTATGACGCGCGAAATTCAAGTGGAGGTCAGGAAGTGAAAACGCAATCATTCATCAACGCAGGAATCATGGAGGACACCGACTATGTCAAACAATGAAATGAACCTGCACGCCGCAGATATCGTGAAAAAATCACAGCACACATCGGATACGATCCGTATCAGCTGAAAAAAAAACGACTTTTCTCGTGATTTATCCGATTTTCCCGCTGTCCAGGCGATGGATATCACCAGCTACCTCGTCCTTCATACCTCCTACTACACGGCTAGCCAGATGAAAGCGTATAAAAGCCTGGAAGCTTTCAACTACTTCGTGTGTGGATGGGTGAATGACCTCGGCACCAAAGAGGCATTAAACAAATGTCGCCTTGTTTTTGCCCGGGTGAGTGTTAACTACCTATACCTTCTTACCTCTAAGTAGCATTATTAGGAGACATCTAGCTAGCTAACTTTAGCTACATGGACTCATGTAAGGCAGTGTTACGGCTGTCGCCTTGCCTTCAGCATTAACTGGCCTGTGAGTGTGTTGTGTGTGTATATATGTATATGTTTGTTATGTGTATGTGTTTAGCTTAGGATATATTGTGTTGTGTGTATAGACAGCTCAGAGCCTTTGAACAGCCTGCACGTTGTTTATATCACTCTATGTTGAGGTTAATATTAAAAACAACCTCTTTACCAAGACCATCTGGTTATGTGTTGCTTGTGATGTTGTTAAATGTATGTTACCAATTCGCAAGTTGTGAACTGGAGCTTCAATTGTGTAGGTCAACCATTCCCAGAGGTCTGGAGAAACACCATTAAAAACGTGGATTGTAGCTAAAGAAGATGGAGAGGTTGTTACAGCACACTGTAATTGTATGGCTGGGTAAGTCATAACATAAATATCCCAACCCAAAGCATATTTGACACAACACTTAAGCTCAGACAAAATAATGCCTGCTATAATATTCATGTTCTACCATTACTAGCTTTTACGATCAATCTAGTTATTCTAGTATGTCTCTGTCTATACAGTTTGTCAGAATCCTGCTCACATGTTGGAGCAGTTCTGTTTGCAATCGAAGCAGGTGTGAAGATGAGAGAGACTGCATCCTGCACCACTGAGAAGTGCAAGTGGCTAATGCCATCACATGTCAAAAAGGTATTCAGACCCCAGTGGTCAGTCAGCTGTTCATGCCGTCCTTGCCTGTCTCATTGTTACACTGCACCTACATGTATGTTCACATACATGTTGGTCTGTCTCTCACATGTGCAGATTCCTGCTGCTCCAGTTGCGATGATAGACTTTTCATCCGCAAAATCCAAAAAGCAAAAACTGGATGATGCCATTGCTGGAAGGACAGGTGAGAAGCACACATTTCAGCGTCCCACAGTCCAGGGTTCAAAATTGGAGCGAGGATCAGAGAGGTATATGCAGTTTTTCAAGACTTTGAGCAGAAATTCCCCAAGAAGTGCTGCACTGATGTCCAGGGAACCATATTACAGAGAATGTGTCCCTAAATCTGTGAGCAAGCTACCTAAACCACTACCTCAGTATAGGACACCAGAGATGCTACAGCTATCCCCAACAGAGTTGCAGAATGCATGCCAGGACTTCAGACAGGAAGAGCTGACACAGCCACAGGTCCAGGCAGTAGAGGAGGAGACCAGAAACCAGAGCTTATCAGCAATATGGTTTAGCCAAAGAGCAGGAAGGATCACAGCCTCAAGACTGAAGCAGGTTCTACAGACTAGTCTTGCACAGCCATCAAAGTCCTTGATCAAGTCCATATGCTACCCAGAGGCACACAAGTTCTCTACAGCTGCAACAAGGTATTTATTAGGGATTAGGGAGCCAATCAGAAAAGCAAACTGTATACAGTTTTTCGCAGACGCGGAGGGATACCGACTTGTTGTGAAAAGTAACGTACAATTCTACCCGTGGTATACGCTGATTATATCACGTATATCAGTAAGTTACAGTACAAGTAACTTATAACTAAATTCATTATCATTACAAAACATGATTCACAAAATATTCAATGCATAAAAATACAGAATGTGTGTGTGTGTGTGTGTGTGTGTGTGTGTGTGTGTGTGTGTGTGTGTGTGTGTGTGTGTGTGTGTGTGTGTGTGTGTGTGTGTGTGTGTGTGTGTGTGTGTGTGTGTGTGTGTGTGTGTGTGTGTGTGTGTGTCTTTGTGTGTCTTTGGCTGAACCCTCAATGGCCATACATGGGAGCGTCGCCAGATGGAGGTGTCACGTGCACCTGCCATGGAACTGGTATCTGTGAGATAAAGGTAAGGTTTGTTCAGTATTGTGCTACAGTAAAGCGGGTAAGTATAGGATTGTGACGTGATCCTGAGTCTGGGGATCCTCTCCCAATACATTTTGAGCTGCAGACACTTATTTTCAGTACAATATATTACTTTTCTTTTCATTGAACTTTTAGTGCCCACACAGCAAACAAGAGGAGGCCAATCTTCGCCTGTGTGCTGGAGAACAGGGCTTCTGTCTCGTCAACGATGGGGGTACTGTGAAGCTGGACAGGAGACATGCCTACTACCATCAAATACAGGCTCAGCTCCACCTCGTTGATGTTGATTACTGCGACTTTGTTGTCTGGACTAAAAATGACCTCTTTGTAGAGAGAATTGTGCGTGATGTGGACCTGTGGGACAACATCATTCCCAGAGTTGAGTGTTTCTTCAGACTATGTGTTCTCCCTGAAGTGTTGGGACAGCAACTTACAAGGGGAAAGGTAAAAGTCATAAAGAGTTGATGTGCTCATTTTTTTCCACAAGAACATGATAGTGCATAACTATCAGGTGACTAAAAGCCTCCTCTCCCTGTCTGCTGTTCCATTTTTCAGTTTCAGTTGCAAGATGATCAGGAGGGAGAGAAGGCGTGATTACCAGCACCTGTGGTCTGTCCTGGTCCCGGAAGTTGTGGTTCTCTCCTTGTTGCATTATTATTACGTGCCGTAGTGGGTGCTGGTGTTTGGGTGTGTGTGGGTGTCTTTTTCTCTCTCCCTCTGATCTCCCCAGGTGCTCCCAATCTCCAATCAGCGCCTCCATATAGGACATGAGGAAGGTTGCAGTCGCTCTCCCCTTATCTTAAGCTTTGTTTGACAAGTTGGCTGGTGAGCCCTTTTTCGTTGTGTTAATTAAAAGACCACTTTATGGCGTCAGAGATCAGTTTCCTCTCCTTTTTCTCTCGGCCGGTTATGTTGTGTGTCGCTACTTCCCTTTGTACCCCTATATTTACAAGGGAACGTAACATTTGCACAGTGGCAGCTCTTTAACCTGCATTACAGCACCTTCATATTCACTGACCACACTCACTAGAGGAAGTAGGGCTGTGTGATATATTGCTATTGTAAAAAAGATGTTTACTGAAAAGATTAAATGATACTAAGACTGAATAATACATGGTTTCTTATTTACAAGACTACAGCTCCATGACTTTACTCCAATGGGACGACAGACACTGACAGATTAGACAAGGCACAGCAAATAACCCCAATCTTGTCAATTAATGCTAGTGCCTCACCTGGTTTTGTTAGCATGTGCTCTATGGGCACAGCCCTGCTTTGCAGAATCTGATATTTTCTTCTGACTAATCCTATGACTCTTTCAACATGAATACGCACATTAGCTATTTTTCTTGTCTCTTCCACCTCGTATGCTGACAGCTGACTTTTCCCCCTGGTGAATGCAGGCATCTTTAGTGAAGCACAGTAAAATCCCACACTATCGGCAATATCGAACCCACGGTCTGCTAGGACAATATCTCCAGGTAACAGGTTTTTTAGGAGCCCACTCTGTATTGTGATCTGTTTATCACTAACTCTTCCTCCCCAGGCACAAGATATGTAAGTGACATAGCCTTGGGGAGCAACACCAATCAGAAATTTAACAGTATGGTGATGCTTGTAGTTTGACCATGTTTGTGCTCTAGCTAGTAAATTAGAGGGCCTCTCAATAAAAACTTCAAAACAGTCAACAATCACAGCAACTCTACATCCAAATGCCTGTCTGAATCCCATTGGCATTGTAGCTTGAAGTACATGTCGCTCTGGCCACTCAATTATAAATTCTGTACTCTCGTGAAGTATGTCAATTAACTTATGCCAAATTCTAGAAGCAGTGGAGAGAGAGATGTTGAACCTGAAAGCCAAATCTTTCAGAGGGAGATTTAGTCTCAGCCTCAGCCAAACTAAAATGAACTGTTCAAATGTGGAGAGCACAGACATAGGGCCACAGGTGATGTAGGGCTCGCACAGTTGAAAAACCTGAAGTAAAACTAAGAAGTTGGGGAGCCCGGTGTAAAACTTTGTTTTCTCTTCGTTGTTCTCAAAGGACTCCTGGTTGAACTTTGTGTCCAGTGCCTTTGTCCGAAGATCTCCCAGCTCTGTTGTGTTCTGTCTCAGAACATCTTCCATCCTCTCGATGTCCTACATCGTTAAATCAGTCTGGCATCCTGCATCTGCATACAATATAGCAGTAGCAAGCATAATTAGTTATTTAAAATAGTCAAATATGAATGTGAATTTTTGTGAAGTTATCTTTTTGACAACCTTTTTACAGACATGCAAGTTCTCTGTTCCAATTATTGCAGATTCTCAAGTTAGTACTCTATTTTCTAAACCTAATTCAAAGTTTGCATTGATTTTCGGACAATCACATTTGTAATATTTAATAATAATGCTGGTGGTTAATTTACCTTGTTGGTCATTTAATATCCCACTGGTGTCCTCTGGCTGTGGGCTGTCAGACGGGGGCTGCGTCGGTTCTGGGCTCTCGGTTGTCTGCAGGAGATCCAACAAAGCCTCTGCACATTCTGATTGTCTTTGTTGGTCTTCCTTGAGCTCCATCCTCTGCTCTCGTCGAAGAGATGCCTCTGATCTGGGCTTACTTGTTGTGTGGTAACCGAGGCTAACAGTGGGAGCCCAGTCTACCGACTCAACGTCACCCAAAGCGCTAGGGCACCCTAAAAAGTCCCAACAAAGTCCATATTAGACTACAGGTAACTTAAACATGATCAGTATTACTAAGTAAATACGCATTTAACCACAAACCAATAATACCTAAACAAAGCCACAAAAACCAAGTTAGCTAATACCTCTGATGAAGTGGTCGCTGCAGACCCGTGCATTAGACGACTCTGCTCCTCCCGACCGCAGATGTAGGTTTGAAAGCCATTTTTTCCGGCGTTCTTCGGTTAGCCTCTTAAATTGCTCAGCTTTATGGATGACAACCTTCGGCACTCGGTAAAACCTCTTGTTTTTCTCTCGGCCGGATCGATTGGAACAACCGTAAACTACACAACACACCGGCATTTTCACAATGGTAACAGCAGCTAGATCCTCTGTAGAAAATTACTTCCTGACCTCCAATGGAATTTCGCGCCAAAGGAACGCAACGGTGTGACGTCACGTGAAACCAAGCTATACTGTGTTTCACCACACATTAATTTAGAGGGGCGCTGTTTCAGTCTTTGTAAAATACTCACTGACAACAGCGGAGAGATGTTTTTTAATACAAATAAAAAATATGAAGAAATACCCAGCCTCCAGGAGAAAACGCCACTGGAGGCTGAGCAGAATATCCCCTGTGCTTCTCTAGAAGTTGTCTTTATGGGTGAAGTTAATTAACTTAAAATTACCATACTGCTTATAATTTATATAAGGTGTGTATTAATGGGTTTAACTAGAAGATGATAGATGATGGCATTTAATTTAATCTGGCATAATATGATTAGTCAACATCAGGATGAATTTGTCTTTTTCTTATAATTACAGGAAGCGGGAATGAGCAGCAGGAATCTGTTAAAGTCCTAGCAAAAAGGAAATTAAAAGAAGAATCTACAGTGTCCAAAGCACAAACCATCTCCTGGAAGTAATAGGTGAATTTGGATTTGTCCTGGATAGGATTTTAAAATACAACACAGACTTCAAAGAGTTTATAGATGTTGATAGAAGTGAGAACATCAGTAACTTTGACAGATTCCAAGTGCACTTTTCTGAAGCACCGGATCTTCAGCCTGTCCTAAGAGAAGTCTGTCAAACTCAGGTATACATGTACCATGCTTGTTAAATTGTGTTTCAAAAAATCACACAGGCCAGAACTTTACTTTGTGCTGTGCTTGCTCTTATTGTTTTGTTCAGCCAAGAACCAGTTCTTCTGAACGGCCTAACTGATCTACTTAAGAAGAAAATTCCAGAAGTATTTGATGAACTGCAAACTAATGCCATTCTTACCGAGAAGACCAGCCTCAAACTTGTCAAAGTTTGCATCTCTGACTTGGTGGAGAGGCATGGGTTGTAAGTATATGAATGTGAAATGTGTTTATATATAGGGGTTGGGACACTTTTTCCCTTAATTTCATTGCCCAACCATTTCTGTTTCGGGCCTGAAATTGTTCTTGTACATGTTTTACATTTAAGTTATTCGTATTCATATTCTGTGAACAATGTATTTTATTTTGTTAATAAAGTCCCTATCTTTCAAATTGAAACTGCTCTGCTTGCTAACTTGTATTTGTTGATACTTACTATAGGGATGAATACATCATTATTAAAGCTAATTAACTATAGATTCACTATAAGATCACCATAGCCAACTCTATAGTATTACTATAGTCAGGGCTGCACATAACTGGTGCGCAGGTGCGCACCTCCGCTAAAAAAAGAGCACCGGGTCATTTGAAAAAAGGCGCATTTGCGCACCAACATTGAGAGAGAGAGAGGAGAGGGAGAAGAGGGGGAGAGAGAAGGGAGGAGAGAGAGAAGAGAGGAGAGAAGAGAGGAGAGAGGAGAGAGAGAGGAGAGAGAAGAGAGAAAGATATTTGCGAGTTGCATATGAACTCAGGGCCGGCCCGGGGCACTGGCGTAATACCTAGGGCGCCAGATCTGTGGAGGCGCTGCGCTGGCAGTTTTGGGAGGGAAAAACATTTTTTTGACCGTTGGGGCTGATCCTAATTTTCGGCCTTGATGTAACGATATTCACAATTAAGTAAATGTACACCCTTTTCACCCCGGTTACACGTTTCATTTGCCCTGTACGATGGGCGCTGTAAGTGATGAAAATGGGGGATGTTGGCTTATCTGGCAACCGCAGCTCAATCTGGTGCTAGCTGCTTTAACAGATATAAGAAGAAGATGTTTCTAGAATAATGTGGAGAGAGAGTCCTCCCAGTCAGACTGAGAGGCTGATAATACAGCTCAGTGAGGTAAAGTAATCTTGAGTGTTTAGATAGTTAACTTTAGTCTAAGTTCAAACGATTTGGTCACAATTTATGTAAACACATATTTCCAAGGCACTCCTTTATAATTATTGGGATAAACAGGTTTGAAATCATTCTAATGTGTACTATAAGACAGTAACCAAAAATATCCTTTAAAACTGGAGAGATACATTTTTTTTTTTTAAGGTAAAATAAGATATGAATGAACAACACAAATAAAATAAGTTACATTCATTTGTTATTGGCTATGGTAGGTTATTGGTTATGTTCACATACTTATTTGATTACATCCACTTGTCTAAGATGACAACAGAGACTTTCGACCCAAACCCAGCTGTTGACTTGTGGATGCAAGCAGCTAATCACAGACTCAACCAGAGAGAAAGAAGTAGGCCTACATCATCAGCTACCATGTCTGACAGAGAGGAAGACAGTGAGGAGAACAGTCAGGAGGGTAGTGATGACAGCTTGTAGGATTACTGGTCGTGCTAATGTTGTCTTGTGTTCACCTCTGCATGTGTGTTCTGTGTTCACCTCTGCATGTGTGTTCAGTGCCGTGTGTCTGGCAAATAAAGACCCCCTCAAAAGTTACGGTTTATTTCATTTTAAGGATGAGCACCAAGCAACATCTCCAGGTGCTCCTTTGAGAACCAGGGCAAAAAAGTGATGTGCACCCCTGACTATAGTAATTTTCTGTAGTGTGTTCCAAAAAACCATAGAAATAATATATAAAGCACTATAGTGATACTACATAAAACTCAATAGTAGCTATAGTAATTTCCTATAGTGGCCAAAAAACCATAGAAATACTACAGGAAACACTATAGTATAACTAACTTCACTATAAGATCACTGTAGAGGAAACTTCTGTGTAGCTATGCAGTGGGAGTCACCGACTCAGGAAGGAGACACGGTAGGAGCAGTATAGCTTTGATGTCAAACACTGATGGTTTATTTGGAGTTACGGCCAGAGGATTCACATCACAAGTCCAAGAGCCAGAGGTTCTGACTTCACGGTAGAGTTGCCACGTCAATTCTGGAGAGCCTCTCTCTTGCCAGCCCATTTAACTGGTTCCACAGAGAGTCATCAACATGTTTTGATAAGATAGCTTTAGATAGTTTGGGCACACTAAGTTACCAGCTTCCGCCACTTATGGCCTTGCATATGTCATGCCCTGGAGTCCTCAGACAACAGAGAAGGAAGTGTCCCAGTGTACCCACAATACAGACCATCTGTGACCCAGTATTGACCGGTCACAGAATGGGAACAATAACATTATTGGCTGAAACAGCCTGTGTCCTTAAAGGAGGTAAACAGACGTCAGGGTTGGTCCTGTACGTCATATCTAGGAGTCTAGGACAATTATTTCCCTAACAATCACCATAGCCAACTCTATAGTATTACTAAAGTAATTCTCTATAGTGTGTCCCAAAACAACATAGAAATACTATAGCAGTTTTTTGTGGTATTTCTATAGTAATTCTCAATAGTAATACTATAGTGTTTTTTCGTAAGGGAACCCTTTCATCATGCCGACAAAGGAGCAAGTACAGCCAAATAGTGAGTTTCTAACCCCCTTTCCACCAAAATGTGACCGTTTAATGAGCATGGCATCAACTTCAGCTAAACCAGCTCATCCTTTCACCTCCATGGACTATAGCCACTCTATGCCAACCATCCCAAGTTACTAAGCTCATTCACAGTGCCTTCAGCCGCCAGTGTCACCATTAACACCCTGTATGCAGCAGCCTGCCACACTGCCTTGTAAAGTACAAGCTCACACATGCTCAGCTGTGCACTGTGGGACCGCACCTGGCCAGTGTGAGTGTGATCAGCCTAACATGAGGAGAGCTTGGTCTGAACCACGCAGCTCTGCAGCTCGTGCAGCACACAGAGAGGACTATATGGACACAAGTGATGAAGATGAACACCGTGGACACAGAGAGAGAATACCAACATTACGCCCAAGCCAGTTTGATGGGGCTGGCTCATGGAGAGGCTTCCTCTTCCATTTTGAAGGATGTGCTGAGGCTAACCACTGGTCAGAGAGGACTATGGCTGTGCATCTCAGATTCAGCTTGACTGGACCCGCGGCTGCCATCATCCACAAGAACCCCAGATCTGCTCGCTGGAGTTATCAGCGGATGGTGAGTGAGATTGAGGCGGCCTACGGACCGTGTTCAGAGCATGCTGCTGCCATAGGCATTGAACTGAGACAGAGAGTCAGAGGACCGGGGGAGGCCCTGCACCTGTTAAGAGATGACATCTATGAAAAAGTTTCAATTGTGTATACTGACCATAATGAGTCGGAGCAGGACGTCATCAGTGTGGAGATTTTCACCAACGCCCTTGCCGATGCAGAAGTGATCCAAAGACTACTGGAGGATAAGCCGCGCACCTTGGCTAGAGCCTACGAGATAGCCCACAGGTATGAAGCCACCAGACGGGCTGCCAGAGCCGTCACACAGCTAATGCAGTCTGGTTATCGCAATGCTGCAGAGCGGAGACCCAGGGCAGCTATGGTGCACGAAAATGCTAATGTTTCCGCCTGTATGGAGGCTTTCGGGGTGGCTGAAGAGTGGGCTGCGGAGCCCGCTAGCACCCAGAGTAAAGCACAGAGGTTTAACCAGCAGTGGTCGCCTAACAGAGCTAAACCTGTACAAATGAACTCTAGAGAAGTCATCTGCCACAACTGCTCTGGTACAAAGGAACTGTCCTTCTTCCCGAAAACGCAAACAGCACGCACCTAATAACACTCCAGCTCCTGACTCAGGTACGGTGGTCTCATGCAATAAAGGCTCTGATGATGACATGAGTATCCGGTAGGGGTGTAACGGTTCACAAACATTTCGGTTCGGTACGTACCTCGGTTTTTTGGTCACGGTTCGGTTCGGTACGTTTTCGGTACAGCAGAATTTTTTTTCACAAAACAAACCATATATATATATTTTTTTATTATTATTATTAAACTGTGAATAATGTATTCACTCAAATAAATACAAAATATAATAAAATAAACATTAAGGTGCAGCATTTCGATGAACTGAAATAATCTGTATTTGAACGGTACACTGTAAAAAAAGATCGTAATTTTACAGGAAATAACTGTAAATTTGTATAGTAATTATCATGTTTTTTTAAATAACTTGCAAAATCCTGTAAAATGACAGATATTAACTATAAATTAACAACCCAAAACATTATTTGAAGTATTTTGACAATAACAACAAATAACGTTTATTTCCTTTTTTTTTTACTGTAAATGTACTATATAATATTTACAGTATTTTTGCACTTTCAGAAAATACATGCAGATGTACGTAAAATAAAATGTTTTTATCTGTAATTAAATATGTAACTCGTAATATAAAAGTGTATTACTATTATAAGACTTTAAGATGTTCTTTGTAATTTTAAGGTAAACATAAAACTGTAAGAAAAGCGTAAAATAAAAAAAACGTAAAATGTAAGTAAAACATTTTTACATAATCATTTTCTCAATATTCGATTGAATCCAACAAAAACACAAAATATCCAATGTTGAAACAAAAGTAAATAAATATGTTTTCATGAAATTCCTAACTTACTATATTGTAAACATCTACAGTTGACAATATCATTAAAAAAAAAAATCATAGAAAGTGGAGAAATCTCTGCAGGGAGGACCAAGGTTTAAAACACACACTGTTATTTACTCAACAATAAGTCACAGTTATCCTTGTTTTATTTATGTTGCTGTGTTTTTTTTCCATTGGTCAATTTACAGTAATAAACCTTAGTTTTACAGTATAATGTATGGTTTTCCGAGCCAGAGCTACGGCACTTGAAATAGAATTCAGCCAAAACACGGCAGACAAGTCAGGCATGTTTGGAATGAGTCCACAACACTCCTGATTGGTTAATATAAACATCATCGAAGAAACCTGCCAATGAGAACTGTCCGTGCCTGTCGTTCACATTTGAAACATCCAAGTCAGTTTCAGCGGGTCTCCTCCTGCGAGCTACAGCTGTCTGTGTGTCTGCTACAGGAGTTTATGGATTCATATCGGGATCGTTTTACATCTACACGTTAAATATGAGCATCGGGACGTCAACAAATAACAGAAGACTTGAGATCTGGTGAGTCCTGCAACTGTAATGGAGTTAAACATGTATTTAGATAATCCTTACTTAGTTTGTGAATGTTTTATTTGTTATTTAAGGTTACGTTTCTTCTTCTAGTTAGCTGAGTTTCTTCCGGTTAAGTTGGTATGCATAATTAATAGGTTGTTAAATGTTAAGAAGCCCTGAGATGCTGTTTCTTGCAAGATGTTGCGCCCGGGAAACCCGGCTTAACATGCGGCTGCTAACGTTAGCTTACAGTTTATTGCAGTGCTGCCCCCCCCACCCTCTCGTCTGCAACACGGGAGAATTACACCTAAACATGCAGCGGGGTGTCACAGTGTTGTCGCCAAGTTTAATGTAAAGTTTCACAGCTTTCTTACAGCGGAATCTAGTTTGTTAATGTTCAGTACAACAGCTAGCATAGCATAAACAGCTAACCGCTAACTTGCTAGTTAGCTCTGCTCTATATATTACACGCTAACATGACTAGCTAATGTCACACTGTGTGAACTAAAATACGTGTTGTATTACTACATCATACATGCTTGGTCCAAATCACTGCTAAAATTAATTATTTTTGAAAATGTATAGTAAAGAAACACTCAGCCATGCATGAAATAACATAGCAAAAGAATACGGGTAATGTTTGACCCATGTTGTGCCTTAGAAGTGTAGTGATACAAACATGATTTTTATTCAAAAAGTAAGTAAGGGAAAAATAAAAATTAGAATTGGTGTTGATCCAAAACAGGCTAATTGAGGAATACCTGGGATCCTGAATGGTTGAAGTAATTTATTGCAAAGATATTTACAATTAAAACTAATTTGGGTCACTTTTGACACATGTTGGTTGTATGTTGTGTAACAAAGGGTTAACATGACGGCTGTGATGTTCACTCTTTTGACAGAGCACCAGTGGACAGTGAGGACTATGGAAGAGATGATGTGATTGCTTTGTGTGGAAAGCTGCTGATGGCAGCCTGTGTCCCTCATCAGTCTCTCCAGGCAGCACCCAGCTATTCTTCCATCATGCAGATGGAAATACTTTGATATGTGAGTAATAACTAACTTGTGTCTAACATAATATTGAATGTGGTTTAGTAAAGTATTTAAAAAATACCCCACATTGTACATGTACAGGACAATCAGACCTTGTTCAACAAAGATCATCAGACAATTGTTTTGTCTTTGAGGTACAGCCGCAGCAGAGAGTCTGAGTTTGAAGAAAACACTAACATTTTATTTAGTGTTGTTTAATCAATCAATATTTACTGGTCTTGAATTTCCTCACTGGATTACAAAATGCTCGAATCTTATTGTACAGGGACATTATGCAGATTTCATCACCTGAAGATAAAAATATAGATTCAGCGATATGTACCATTTTAAGGAAATAGACTGTTAGTGGTATTGACCAAAGCTCCGCAGCTGTAGCTAGGCGCTGCTAATGAAAACTCAAGTGCTCAATTTGTTGGTTTTTCTTTTTTATTAAGAATTGACCAAGCATATCTTCCTCTTCGAAATCCCAGTTGTACTTCGCTAACACGCAGTGCCTGGGAGGGTGCGTTTGATTGTTCCCACAATAGTGCGTGCGTGCGCTTGTGCTTCAAAGGTCCATCATACAAGATGTAGGGGATCTATTGGCAGCTGCTGATAATAACATCCATCATTATGGTTTACTAATAGTTATCACTTCACTTCCTCCTCCAGCATCTGGACACAGCAGGAACCTATGCCAGGATCCTGTTTGTGGACTTCAGCTCTGCCTTCAACACAACACTCTGGCTGGAGGCTGCGCTCCATCAGGACCAACACCTCTCTCCATCAGGACCAACACCTCTCTCCATCAGGACCAGAACCTCTCTCCATCAGGACCAGAACCTCTCTCCATCAGGACCAAAACATCTTCATCAGGACCAAAACCTCTCTCCATCAGGACCAAAACCTCTCTCCATCAGGACAACACCTCTCTCCATCAGGACCAACACCTCTCTCCATCAGGACCAACACCTCTCTCCATCAGGACCAACACCTCTCTCCATCAGGACCAAACCTCTCTCCATCAGGACCAGAACCTCTCTCCATCAGGACCAAAACATCTCCATCAGGACCAAAACCTCTCTCCATCAGGACCAAAACCTCTCTCCATCAGGACCAACACCTCTCTCCATCAGGACCAGAACCTCTCTCCATCAGGACCAGAACCTCTCTCCATCAGGACCAGAACCTCTCTCCATCAGGACCAGAACCTCTCTCCATCAGGACCAAAACATCTCCATCAGGACCAAAACCTCTCTCCATCAGGACCAAAACCTCTCTCCATCAGGACCAACACCTCTCTCCATCAGGACCAACACCTCTCTCCATCAGGACCAACACCTCTCTCCATCAGGACCAAAACCTCTCGCCACCTCAACAAGGCACCCCCCCCCCCTACAGACCGACGTTAACAGCAGCCCTGTCTGTGCACACGGAGACCGACTCGACTCTGTCGTCCGGTGATCTAACCGCCTTCTGGAAAAGTTTCACAAGTACGTCGGTACGCAAATGCGCTTTGTGACACAAGTGACGGTGCGCATTTCAGATTACGCACATAACCTGCGTACCAGTTATGTGCACCCCTGTACTTCAGCAAAAGTATTCTCCGTCGGGACTTCCTGCAACAACACCACGCCGTTATCAAAGATGTTCTATTGAGAAGACGATCACTACGTGACAAAAGTTTTCAAAACCGTGGCTACTGAAATCAATCTGACTAACTGCTGTCTGTGCAATTTACTCCGCGAGTTGGCAGACTTTATTTTGCTTACTTTAACATCATTTTTCATGGTGGGGCTAAGCCATTTCTTGGTATGGGTGTAGCCTACCCCAGCCATACCCTGGCGCTGCCACTGGTGGCACGTATGGGGCGGGCCATTCTGCACATGCCATTCTGCACATGCGTTAAATATGTTAAATATTTTAACGCAATTAATTCAAAAAATTGATTACCGCCGTTAACGCGATAATTTTGACAGCACTCATTTTAAGTTTTCAGAGTAATTGTTTCCTACAGAACATTTTGTGATGTCATTTTGTTGAACCTGTTTGATTGGAAAATGTTAGAAAAAAGCTGTAAGATAACAGTATTCTAGCTGTAGAACTTTAGGTTCTGTATTTATTTTAGTGTTTGATCATACAAATCTAATAAAAAAAATGTAAACTGTTTTTCTCATCAGAACTTTATTTAAGGTATTTTAATGTAATATTTTAAGACAATGGATTTTGAAAAGAGAGGAAAGTTTCCTCTAAAATCTTTAAGGACAATTTCTGTATACTAATTGCTTTTGCACTTTATTTCAGTTAATGTATTTTTACTTTAATTTAATGTTTTTTGTTTGGCAGCCGCTGCTGCCAGTCATTTGACCGTTTTTTTACGGGTTTTTTGCCCGTAGAAGTTTTAGTGCTGTACTTTTATTAAATGTTATTGACTGTAATAAGAGAGGATAAATCTGTAAAATTACAGTGTTTGCACGTTAAAATATTAGTGCTGTACTTTTATTAAATGTTATTGACTGTAAAAAGAGAGGATACATCTGTAAAATTAGAGTATTTGCCTGTAGAAGTATGAGTGATGTACTTTTATTTAAGGTTATTGACTGTAAAAAGAGAGTATAAATCTGTAAAATTACAGTGTTTTCCTGTAAAATCTTTAAGGACAATTCCCGTAAATTAATGGCTTATTCACTTTATTTCAGTTAAAGTATTTTACTTTAATTTAAGGGTTTTTGTTTGGCAGCCGCTGCTGCCAGTACTTTGACCGTTTTTTTACGAGTTTTTTTTTTTACAGTGTACTGTACTAGCACCTAAGCAGCCAGCTTGACATTAGGACTTGCTTGTCATTGTATTTTCATGTTTTTTTAAAGAAAAATGAACTTGTCCACATTGCTTGCCGAAAGGGCAGATCTGCTGGCACTAACAATGTCTCCTGATGTGGAGAAAACCCTCTCGCTAGGGACAGAGGTAGCAGATACAGCCAGGTAGCGCTTTGCTAACATGGCAACATAAGGATATTTGGTGTTTGTAATAGCTTTGGCTCGGTCTGAACTCTCTGCGAGTGGTGGAGGCTAACATGCTAGTGGGAGTTGGGTTTACTTTGCACTTCAGTCTTTTTTCTTTTGGTACCGGTGATATTCACGTTCGGGTGATGCCTTTTCAAGAGTGTGCAAGTTTGATGTATTGCCAGCCGCGTAACCAATGTTAGTTGAACAATGCCGACAAACAGCTTTGGTTCGGTCCACCTGTCTTTGTCCGTCATCCTTGTACGTAACTGCGAAACCAAAATGTTCCCAAACCGGAGACTTCAATGATGCTGGAGGATTTTCGAGCTCAACTTTATCTGCGTTCGCCATTAATTTTTGACAGTTCCTCAAATTACTGACTACATTTGAACGCATCCCTCTGACCAGCTCTCATAGTATGCCTCTCATCCAATTAAATGACTTGCTCGCTCTATGACGCGTTGAACCCCATGTGAGCAAATTACTCTGAATGCTGCGACGCAGCACCTGAGATTTCTTCCAAAAAGTTAATCACGTTCTCAATTTTTTACGTTTAACGTTATATTCGTTCGGTACACTTCGGTACACACCTGTACCGAACCGAAGGGCCCGTACCGAATAATTTCGGTACGGGTACGTGTACCGTTACACCCCTAGTATCCGGATACTGATACAGGGACATGAACTGTGTGCTCTGCTCGACTCTGGCGCCCGGAGGAATATACTCCCCCTCCGCCACTTCAACGCCATTCCTGTTGAATCGAGGCCTCAAATCCAGCCATCCATCGTACAAGTGTTACACGGCATCGGTCCTGAGGGCATCGCTGTCCGAGGGGAAGTCAACCTGCCAGTTCAAGCCGGAAGCAAGGTAACCAATGTGAACTTTATTATGGCAGACACAGCTGAAAATACAGAGGTTATCCTGGGGCACCCTTTTCTTCTGCAGTCACATGCTCACTTGGACTATGGTCGCAGGGAAATCACCCTCTTCGGTGAGAGAGTGCCTCGCTCAAAACCCAGCAGACAGGCTGAAGTGCACCTCGTCAGGGTATCCCGCACAACAGTATTGGAGTCGGGGTGTGAGTATGTGGTGCCTGGTACTGCCCGCCTTCGCTCTGCTGTTAATAAAGATATGATGCTGACCCCCACTAAAGGCTTCATTGAGAGACAACACGTCCTGGCAGCCCGCGTTGTTGTACACACCCGGCATTCCTCCAACATTCCCATGCGGATTTACAATCCTGGTCCTGCATCTGTTACTCTGAAGAGAGGGGTGGTGGTCGGAGTTCTTCAGCCAGCTGAGGTGTTGGGAGAAGTGGATCTCCATCTGACCAAGTCCCCAGTAACATCAGACCCCAATGACTTTCCTGTTATATCTGTGCCCAGTCATCTACAGGACATGTATGCAGAGAGCTGTGCTCACCTGTCTGAGGAGGACAGAGCCGGGCTAGCTCACGTGCTACGGAGGTTCGGTGATGTCTTCTCCACCGGGCCCACTGACCTTGGCCGCACCAGCTTAGTGCAGCACGACATACAGACTACTCCTGGGCAGCCTGTGAAGCAGCCGCCACGCAGAATGGCCAGAGACAAACAGATTGCTGCAGATCTGCAGGTACAGCAGAGCCTGGAGTCTGGTGTAGCTCGTCCCAGCAACAGCAGCTGGGCTGCACCTATCGTCATGGTGAGGAAGAAAGACCAAAGCCCGCGATTATGTGTGGATTACAGACCCCTTCACGAAGGGACTATTAAAGATGCCTATCCCCTGCCACGTATTCAGGACTCTGGACACACTGTCCACTGCCAGGTACTTCAGTACACTAGACTTGACTTCAGGCTACTGGCAGGTGGAATTGACACCAAGAGCCCGCAAAGCCGCAGCTTTCTGCACTCGCAAGGGGCTATTTGAATGGAACGTCATGCCCTTTGGACTGTGCAATGCACCGGCCACGTTTCAGAGGCTAATGGACAGAGTATTAGCGGGATTGCAGTGGGAGACCTGCTTGGTGTATCTCGATGACATCATTGTCCTGGGGCGGGATGGTTCCGAAATGCTAAGCCGGCTCAATGAAGTGTTCGCCAGGCTATGAGGAGCTAACCTGAAGCTGAAACCGTCAAAGTGCTGCCTTTTCCGGGAGAAGGTGGGTTACCTTGGCCACATTGTCTCAGCCCAGGGTGTGTCTACTGATCCAGAGAAGGTGAAGAAAGTGGCAGAGTGGCCTACGCCTCGTAACATCTCTGAGGTACGTCAGTTTGTGGGCCTGGCATCATATTACAGACGCTTTGTGGAAAACTTTGCTACAATAGCTAAACCTCTTCACGGGCTGACCAAAAAGTATGCACTATTTAATTGGACAGAGGAATGCCAGGAGGCATTCACAGAGCTGAAAGGACGACTGTCAACAGCTCCTGTCCTAGGCTACCCCCTTGACAGCGGCGAGATGCTTCTCGACACTGATGCTAGTGACTGGGGAATCGGAGCAGTCCTCTCCCAAATCCAGGGGGGTGAGGAGAGGGTGCTAGCCTATGGAAACAGGAGGTTGTCAACCACAGAACAAAACTATTGCACCACCAGACGCAAACTTCTGGCAGGCGTGGAGTTTGCCTGTCACTTCAGACAATACCTGCTTGGCAGACCATTCACTCTCCGGACTGATCACAGCAGCCTGCGCTGGTTAACCAGGTTAAAAGAACCAGAGGGACAGCTGGCCCGCTGGCTAGAGAAGCTGGCAGAGTATGATTTTCAGGTGGTTCATCGACCGGGGAGACACCACCAAAATGCAGACGCACTTTCCAGGAGGCCCTGCAGGGAGTCGTGCCCCTGCACAGTGCCAGAGCATGACAGCGAGCGACACCAGCATAAGGGGGTCCAGTGTGACCTGACAGACAGTACAGCTGACGTTGCCATATATACT